CACACACACACACACACACACATACACACACACACACACACACATATTTGCACCTGGCATGTTTTTCAAGCCACCGAGGCTGAAATTTGAATTTGGTCGGCCATGTGGGATCAGCTACCTTAACCAGCAGGCCACCAGGCTGACTCTATTCTTAGGGATTTTAAACTCAGTCTAGCTTGTCAACTACTTCGTATTTCATGAAATCCTTTTCAGGCCATGACTTAATGCTCTTCCATTTCAGCACGCACGCACACATGCCCAGTGAGCCACAGATGATCAGTTTGGCTACCTATAACCTTCATTTCTAAGTTTGTAAAAAGAAAAAATAACCGTGAAAGAGTTGGCAATTTTTTTTTTTTTTGAGAGGATTTTGCTATAGGGCACTTGCGTTTGCCAGAAAGACAGAGACAGAGAGACAGAAAGCGAGAAATTATCCCACAGGGGGGATGGCCACACCACAATCCCTTCTCCTCCATTCTCCTCTCAGGATCTTGGGCACGCACGCACACGTGCCCAGTGTGAGCTTAAGCCACTGGGTCTGGGACTCGAACTATGGTCAGCTACATGGGAGTCCAGCGACATAGCCATTACGCCAACAGCTGGTCCCGAGTTGGCATTTTTAAAAGATATCTGTATGGGGCTGGCAGGTGGTGTGGTGGGTAAGGCACTGGACTCCCACAGGGTCGACTGCCTTTGAGTTCCAGACCTGGTGGTTTGCTTTCTCACTTTCCCTCTCTCTCTCTCTCTCTGTGTCTGTCTCTTTCTAGTCAAATTAAATAATATTAATAATTAATAAAATTAAATGAATGATTCTTAGAAAAGAAGAGATCTGTATGCATGCACTGTGAGGTCCTTGTCATGGAGCACATTGCACTGGCTACTGCACTGGCAGCCACAGATGGGAATAGCAGATGTGAAACTACAGAAACACTGTACATGTAAGATTATCTCTAGAAAAATGAGACATTCCTTTTCAAATGGCTGTATTAGTTTTAAAAAGTGAATAAAAGGAAGAGAGATAAAATTGATGACTTAACATAGTTGAGCTTAATAAATGCTAATAGCAGCAATACTGAATGATAGTAATAAGAGATTTTGTATAAGAATTTACATGAGATTTGTTTCAGATAATTTCCTATTGGCTCTCAGAAAAATCAAGGGTGCAATGCAATACACTGTAAAGTTATATGTAATCCAATGTAATATAAAGATTATGTTGATAATAAAAAAATATTAAAAAAATAAATAAATAAAAAAGAAAAATCAAGGGCGCTGGGGGTGGGAAAGATATCTTTATAATTATAATGTAGAGTCATTTGACATTTCACTGACTTATTTATTTATTTATTTATTTATTGGAGAGGGTTTTGCTTAGGACTCGTGTGCTCGCCAGAAAGACAGAGAGAGACAGAAAGATAGAAAGTGAGAAATCACCCCCCCAGGGGGGATGGCCACGCTACAATCCCTTCTCCTCCGTTCTCCTCTCAGGATCTTGGGCACGCACATACACACATGCCCAGTCTGAGTTTAAGCCATTGTATCCAGGACTCGAAACACAATTGACTACATGGGAGTCTAGCGACATAGCCATTATGCCAACTGCTGGTCCCTGCACTGACTTATTAATCAATGCTTCCTCTGCTTTCCAATGAATTCTGGCAATTCACTGGCCAACTTCTGTATAAATGAGGACTAATTATGTACTGAGCCAGCTTAGTAGGTTAACTCTTTTAAACCCCACACGTCCCGTGTGATCTGTATTATCCCAATTTTATAAATAAGGAAGTAAGGGAGTCAGAGAGTAAGGACAAGTGAGTTGCCCAAACTCTTATATGACCCGTGAGGGCAACAGGAGGACTCGAACTCTGATCTTTGTAGCACTACATCATCTTTTTCCATGTACAGTAACTGCCTTGGCACCTTCTCTTGCCTCGTTTATCCTCTAATCCCCCTAATGGTTACAAGCTTTCAAAATTGATTTAATTCTGATCCAAAGTATGAAAACTAAACCTGTGTCAAATTTATTTCTTTCAAAGAACAATTCGACATCTTGCATTAATATTGGGTCATTAGAAAAGTCATGACACATTTTTGCACAGAAAAATAAGTCATGACGTTTCCAACAATCCAACATTTCATACAATGTATTTAGTGACAAACTAAATTTGAGACATACAGAACCTAAAACCAGAGTTTAGGGGCTGGCAGGTGGCGTGGTGGTGAAAGGCTTTGTACTCCTACATGTCCAACTGCAGTTCGAGTCCCAGACCTGGTGGCTTGCTTTCTCACTTTCCCTTTCTCTCTCACACTCTGTTTCTCTCTGGTCAAATTAAACTATGTAAATAAATAAATAAAGTTGAATAAAATAATTCTTTAGAAAACAAAACAAAACAAAAAGCAAAACAAAAAACCTTCAGAGTTTACCAGGTTTCTTCTTTGGCTCTTTAAAACGCGATGTGAACTCAGTCTCTAAGGGGAGGGTATTACATGCATCTTTTCACAAGCTGTTTATTCACTCACATATTTATTTATCCTTTTATTCTGGTAGAACACCTCAAGGAATTGGCTTTCCATGAAACTTTCCATCTCATTGGTGAGCCATCTGGGGAGACTCATCTTTGAGCCTTAGTTTTCTATCCTACATATTGAACTAGAGATATTTCAAATGTCCCTTCAGCTTTATATCTGTGACATATACTCCTCCTCCACCCCAATCCAGACATTTGTGCTATGAACACAGTAAGGTTTTCTGAAAACCATTCTTTTATTCATGGAACATGTATTGATTGCCAGGCACCACACTAGGTTCTAAGGATATGAAGATACCCTGCCCTCCAGAGGAGAGGCACATACCTGCTGATGATTCAAAAGCAAGAGAGCAGTAGAAATAGGAAATATGCTTAAACAAGTAAGGCATATATGATCTGGTGATAAAAAACAAAACAAAACAAAACAAACCATGGCTCAGCAAGAGAGAGGTAGTAACATTCTCAAGTAGTGAAGACTCGTGGAGGAGCTGCCTCCTCTTTGGAAGAGTTGAGTTAGGTGTTCTGGAGTGAGGATGCCCGATTTGCATCCTAAAGGATGGGTAGGCATTAGACAAAGTGGTGGTACAGCAGGCAGAGGGGACAAGAATGAAAAAGAGCAGAGGGTGGAGGCAGCATGATGTGTGCAGTGGTGTACAAGAGTTTGGCATGACTAGAATATAAAATGTTCAAGCCAGGAGGCTGGGTCTGGAGTTGTAGGAGTCGGCAAGGGCCAGTTGTTGGGGCCTTCTCAGGCAGACACTAGAGCTTTATCACATCGTGTGATGGCAAGCCTGTGGAAGACCTGAAGCAGGGAAGTGACATGGCCACAGCTGCATTTTATACAGCTTTGTGGGAAATAGATGCCAAGAGAGGTAGTGGGGACAAGTTAGAAGACTACTGCAGATGTTCAGAAGATAGACTCTGAGTGCCCAAACCAAGAGTATAGTAATAGGATACTAGAGGGAGGGAGGGATTTGAGTAATTTTTAGTATTTAGCTGGTATAACCTGCTCCATTTGGTGACCGAGGAGATGAAGAGGGCAGAAGAGAGGCTGGGATGATGAAAGACTTGATGTCAGTACAAGGAAGTGCTACGTTATGGGGGGAAATGATGTGATGTGATTGGTATTAGACCTGCTAAGGTCTTTTCAAGCCATTTGCAGATATCTTAACACTGGGAGTTGTTAGACTGCAAGCCCAGTCCATGCCCTAAAGTCCAATGAGGTTTCATTTTGAGTAGAGGACTTGCATTGACGGACCATTCCATGTTGCCACGTACATGATTTAGGTTGTTGGAATGTTCCGAGTACATGGTAATTTTACTTTTAACATAATTATCAATCAAAATTGTAAATGAGTTTAATTTCTTATCTGACCACAGAGTTATGAGGTGGGCAACAGATAATACTTATGTTTATTGGTTGAAATCTAGTTGTTTTTAAGAATATTATCGAAAGAAACCCGTAACCACTAGTTTGGAATTTTTCTTTACCTGTATGATAAAATGTTATTTAGAATAGTTTTTTTTTTTTTTTTTAACTAAATCACTAACATTGGTGTAGGGTAATTAAGATTATAAATGTCCTTCTTTGAACTTCACATGCCTGTGTTCAAGCTCGGCTGTACCTACAGCCAAGACACTTTGCCAGCTGTCAAAGTGAACTGAGTCATTTTCTAAATGGCTCTTGTCATTTCTTTCTGAGTGTGCTGTAGAAAGAATTCCAGTTGAACAGATTCTGTAAGGATTTTTTTTCTGTAGGGTTAGGAATATAGTCTGCATAAGAACTGGCCCGAATATTCCTCATTTGAGGTTGATAGAAGATGAACCAGAGCCCAGATTTTGCCAGCTCTCTCAACAAGTGGTTCTAAATACACCAGAAGCTGATGATAGGAATGTTGGGGGGCCGGGGGGATGGTGAAGGATGAGAAAGAGTAAAGGCAAGGAAAAAAATTGCTTACCAGGTTCTTGTTGTATTATGTGATTGTTTTTAAACCAAGTTATCTGAGGCTCTGGGACACCGTTAGCATGACAGTCTAAAGTGGTGGAGCTGCTGATAGCCACCGTGTGGTCACTGAGGTTTCGCAGGAGATAAGGAGCTTCCTGATCTAGTGAAGAAAGAGAGGGAGTTGTGATTACTTGTCAGTTTTCTTCTTTGATTGCATATGCTTATCAACAATTTAACTACATAGAGAAACAGCCATAGTCAACTCTAAGGTTTCTAGTATATTCTGTTCCCTCGCTCTCTTTCATGGTTCGCCGACTATTCCTCTTTAATAAGCTGCTACATAAATTGAGATTCATTAGAACACAGGAAAATCAAACACTAGATTCTGTATTTTTAGACTTCAATACCAAAATTGTTGTCTGGTCAACTAATCTCCTTCCTTTTCTCGAGAGAAGCTTTTCTAAAACCTAAGGTATCATATTTTAGGAGCTATAAATGAAAAGTGTGATTTCGTACCCAGGCTTGTAATGGATTTTTACATAATCGTGATGTAATGAGGGCTCCTGTAAGTTTGGGTGTATTTTTATTGATGCATGTGTGAGGGCGTATTTGTGTGACTCAACTGTCAATAACCTCAAATGTAAGGACCAAACAGGAGAATTTCTTGAACTTTGAAAGCTTTATTGATTATTTCCTTCCTCCATTCCCCTCCCACATGCAAGTGACCAACGGATTAATTCAAGAGGCAGAGGCACAGATTTGTAGTTTTTGCACTATATAATAGTACAAATATTGTATTTTATATTATTTTCTCTTAAAACATACAAATATGATACAATACAATTTATTTTAATAAAATGCCAACCAATATAGTACAACAAAATGAATTTAATACATTAAGATGCAATACATTACAACATTAAATCCCACAGAGAAACAGCAGTACCCCCGAGGCCCCCAAAGAGTCCAGTGTCTCTATTTAATGAAGTAGTCAGTCAGTCCTGCTGATGTGTGTACATTCTAGTTAGGCGGGTACGGGATAGGTAGCTCAAGCTTCCAAGGTCAAAGAGTAAAAACAACTCCTAACGTCTTTCCTACCCTCCCAAATCATCCTTTTCCCCTCTTGTGGCAAATCCTGGAACAGAAATCAAAAGGGTTTTGGCACAACTTACATATTCTGCATCATCGATCTCAATGATAGAGTAGGAGCTTTCTCCGACCATTTCTGACTTCCTCATCCTAGTGTACTAAAACTGTGAAAGCAGCTTAGGAGTGATTACGATGCTACGGAAAAATGATACATTGCAATGGTTTTGATCCCATGTCCCTGCAGGATTCCAGCCCCAGACCTTTCTCTTTTTATTCCTGCAGGGAAACTCTCAGGATTAGCATTGGTTAAAGCAATTTAGAAATCCCAAGTTAAAAAGTGTATTATCATCTCTTTTATAACTGTTGAAGGAGTGTAACATGACAGGGTTACTATCTGTTAGGAGAAATGAATTTCTCAGCGAATTTTGATTTCCATAGCTTAGCATCAGTCTTCTCATTTTATACAAAATGAAATCCAAAGGCAAAAAGAGTGCTGAAGGAAATGCTCTAATTAATAAAAACCTTCTTCGTATGAAATGGGGAACGAATGATAGCAACGATCCTTTTGCCTCTTTCAGCATGACTTTCTTATCCTGCCTTTGAGCTCCTAGGCAGAACCAGCACAGTGTTTCTGGGCTCGCATTCTGTACACTTGCCAGACGGCTTTCCCCCACTGTAATGCAGCTCTGCAGGGAACATTCCATTTATAACTGGTACACACTCATTACAATGTAGACATTTGTATACAATCCAGACTCCAAAAGTTTCATCAATGTGTGACAAGATAGTGAAGAGCAGTCTCCTATTACTATTCAGTATGTTTTACAGTGGCAAGCCAACTCTGACATACCATTTACTACTCATGGCCGGTTCACCGAGGTAGGCTTTTAGTAGTTCTTTTAGCACATGTACTCTTTCCAATGCGTTAGCTATGGTAAAATAAGCTAGCATTAACCACAGGCCTTATAAAAAGGAAGTCTGAATATAAAGCTCAAAATACCCAAATTATTTTTCATAGCTACAACCTGGAACATCAACACAGGGTTGGGACTTCCCTGACAGGTGTATCGGAAAACAATGCTTATATAGAAGAGAACGTTTTATTTTAACATCAATGTCTTAAAGAACTCCCAAAGGCCCTATTTGTACTACACAAACTTCAGACAATAGAAGCAGCAAAAAGGCTGCAGGATAAACATGGGACCGCGATGAAATGCGAGGTTCAGATAAACATTCTGAAACACAGAGTGAGGAATTTTTCTCTATATACCCATTTCTGAAAAATGTCCCCCTCCCCATGTTGAAAGTCTCCTTTTTGGCCAGATTTTAAATGACCATCACCCCAGGGATCAAATTTTGTCAACTCCTACTTTATGTATCATAATACTCTATTTTGACATTTTAAGGAAGAAATGTAAAATACTGAACGCATGTTTTTAAACCTGCGGTGGAAGTAGATAGCTGCTTTTCAAAATTGAGTGGTGTAGTTGATCCCTTCAAACTGAGAAAATCAGACTTAACGGAATATTTCAGCAGTAGCCAGAGACAGCTGCCCACCAGGTTCATCTTTTACTCTTCAGCGTTTGGCCCCAGAGATCTGCCAGGGCCCAGAAATACAGAGTTTCTATTCTCGTTCAGAGTGGGGACGGAGGAGCCAGCCTCACACCCCCTACTCCCCATTGGATGTTCTCCGTATTAGGCTATTTTCTTCCTTTTTCCTCCACCAGCCTTACTTCACTTCATACCCCAAAGACTAGGTAAGAATACAAAAAACTCACTTGAGTTTATTTTCTTAAAAAAAAAAAAAAAAAAAAAAAAATTTTTCGGAAACATTG